AGAAAAGGAATTATTGAACTTTAAATATAAGGCATTCTGATAAACTTGTCTTGGCAAATGTCTTAATAATGCTGTTAGCAAAAAGGGGATTGAGGTCTGACATATGTCCAAAGTGAATCTAGTGAGAAAATTTCAATATTCTTTTGGTTCAAGGAACAGATAAATGATAGCTACCAGACCATAAAATGTTAATCATGCTGTCATTTCTTCACTTGAACATTTTGTAGTACTTTGTGAAACCTGAAAAGTTAAGAGTTCTGGGACATCTTAATATTTTTTAATCCTGTCCATTCTCAGCTTAACTAATAAAATGTCTTAGTTCAGACACTTAAAAACCAATGCCTGGAAAATTCTAATAACGAAATCAACTTTTCTAAATTTCACTTTATTCACACATTTACTCTGATCTAAAAGGTTTCTGTATAAAGTTCAAAGTTCATAGGAATTTCTAGACTGAGCCTGACATTCCATCACTTCCTACTTCCTTTGGCATCAGCCCCACACGAATGGCCCTATGATCAACCCTCTGACCTGGTCTGAGCATTTTCCTTCTCTGTAGTTAAAAGGACCCAGTGAACCCTTTCACAAGAATGGCCGCATCAAGTCAAAGAAAATCCACTTTTTCTAGCCTACCCATGACGCATTAACAGAATTCTGAGTTGGTTGCCACAAATATTTCTTAGTTGCACTATCTTGACTAAATTGCAGTGTGTCCCAGCTTAAATGTTATTCTTTTGCTGTTGTTGTTGTTGTTGTTGTTATTGTTTTGACAGAGTCTCACTCTGTAATCCTAGAAACCTTTGAACTTGCTATGTAGACCAGGCTGTCCTGAATGTCATAAGATCCATATGCTTCTGCCTACTGAGTGCTGGAATTAAAGTCATATACCACTATTCCAGGCTAGATTTCATTCCTTGTTAGCTTTGATCTGTCAGCATAGAAATTCGAGTGAATAAATACATAAACAATTGAATCATGGTGTATCTGTATCAGATATTATAATATTCCTTTCCTAGACAGTAAATAATTGTGTTTAATTAAGTTTTATTTTGAAGGAAATAGCAAAGCTTCACAATGAAAAATTTAAGAAGAGGAAATGTTCTAATCTCCTAGGTCATTAACTACTAAAAGAGAGTGCTTTAAACTTCCTTTCAATGTATCAGACTGTCAACTGTCATCATAAGGATCAGAAACATGACATACAATAAGTTGTGTTGAGTTCAAAGTGTTCTTTCTCTTTGACGCATTTTGTTCTCGGTAATAGACCCATACAGTCAGTTTATCCCCCAGTATAATTTTAAATGTTGGCCCGAGAGGACTGTCCCATGATGATCTCCTCAGCCCCTGCGGTGTTCTAAGTCAGTCCCTCTCATTAGTGTGAATGCACATGGTGACAAGCTCTGGGAGGCATTTATGTGACTCTAAAGAACTCCTCATGACATGCCTTCAGTCAAGATTCTACTCAGCCATTTTGGGTCTCTCTCTTGTGTTATTTTCTCTTTTTTCTGTAGCATTTATTCGCGCTTGACCCTATGTTTTAGAAAGTGCATACAAGTCAGTATTCCAGACATCCCAGGGACTTGAAGAGCTGATCTAATGCCTGTGTTGCAAGATGAAAAACAGAAGAATTTTGTTGAACCTATAAAAAGGATGACATTTTGCCTGGCCCTGAGCTGTTCTCTTCAAAATTGAAGCTTTTGCAGCTTGAGGCTTTTTGATTTGTGAGCTGAAGAGCATCATATCTTGGCCATCACTGAATCATAAAAGTTCTCTGCCTCTTCCCAGCTCATTTTATTTAAAAGGAAAAAGAGAATGCTTTACCTTACAAAGTGCATTTTCTTTTTATTTTCCTTCATTTTCTGCATTGCAGGAATAGATTCTGCAAGGGTTCGGTGAAAACACATGCAAATGGTCATTTGAAAAGACCATTCAGCTGATGTGAGGAGGTCATTTTGGTAGCTAGATTGGAATAGGTGTCGTGAGAATAGAGCATTCTACAGCATTTTTCCTGCCAAATCACCTTGTGAAAGGCCAGAACCTTGTACACATTATTTATTCTCATCATCCATAAAAGACGAATATAGAGCCACATAGCACATCCAGGTCAGGGTCTGGCTTAACCACCAAGTATTGACTGATGAGGGGTAGAAGGAGCTGAGTGTGAAGGAGGTAATGTCATTAAAATTCCCTCTGCATTCAAACACTTTGAACAAGAGAGAAACCTGTGCAGCATTATCAGCAACATTTGAAGTCATGATTTCTTAGCTAAACCATATTATCTTTTAATGAAACCCTATCCATTGCTTAATTAGTCCTCTATTCAACAAACATGTTTAGTGATTTTCAATGTCAGTCTCTTCTCGCTGCTGAAAATCAATAGCACAGTCACCCTCTTCCTTGAGGTGCCCTCAATCTATTCATAAACCCGGTATATCAAAATGATACCCCTTGCTTAAAGGCTCATTCTAGGCATGTCCCCACATTTACTACATCATTTCAAATGAAAAGACCATCAGAGCCTCATGCACAGAAAAAGGATAAAGAAAACAAATGTGTCAAAGAGTTAATTTTAAAACCACTCTTTCGTGTGGTTTTTATGAAGCTAATTGTTTGAGAAGGGTTATCAAACCTCCAAAGTGCAGCAAATTATTTCTCATTCTAAATAAAGATTTACTTCTATGAATAATTTTGTAATCTTGTATGAGAGACATTCCACTAAATTCAGGGCTCAAGGCCCAGAGCTCAGGTCAAATTCTGATGCAGGCTGCACCTGCGTTATGCACACAATCCCATAACACAGAACCAGGCTTAGAGGGTGCACAGTACACAGAGCTTTATGTTATCACTGTAATTCTTTCCTAGTTCTCTCTTTGTTGTTTTCTTCTACCAAGAGCAATTATTTTCTGGAGAATCACAACATCTACTATAATCATCAACTTTTCTGAGAGAGAGAGAGAGAGAGAGAGAGAGAGAGAGAGAGAGAGAGAGAGAGAGAGAGAGAGAGAGAGAGAGAGAACACCCAAGTGGGCATTTGTGTGTGTGCAAGTGACTGTGGAGGCCAGAAATCAATGTCAGGTGTATTCTTGAGCTAACATTATAACTGTATTTCTTTTGATACAGGGTCTGGAAGTTGCCTGCCTGGCTAGACTGACTGGCCAACAATCCCCAAGAATCTATTATTTTCTGCTTCTCCACTCTGGTATTATAGGCATGCTCTGCCAAACCTAGCTTCTTACAGGAGTTCTAGGGATCCCAACACAAGACCTATGATATAGTACAACAGGTAATTTACTAACAGAGTCATCATCCCAGCCCTCAATTTCATTTCTAATAATTGCTTTCATACATAACAAAAAGCAGACATTTTAGGGGTGCCGTATACAACTAGATCTTTATTTAATTTTTATCCAAAGAATACCAGGAAATGTATGAACTATGAACACTCTGGGAAACTGTCTGGTCGGGTGAAGTGCCCCAACTGTTAACCACATAACTTCCAGAGGACCTGGGTTCAACTCTCAACGCCCACATTGAAATTCGGAAAACCTTATGTAATTCCAATTCCTAGGTACCCAATGCCCTCTTCTGGTCTCCATGAGCATAAGGCATGCACATGGTAACAGCAGAAATACAGGCAAAATACCCATATACATAAAATAGGGACACAATATTTTAAGGAGCTAAGTGTGCAAAATATGAAGCCATTGATAAATTGAGCACATAACACATCAAGTGGCTGTGAAATAATATTACATGTCAATGTTGATCATCTCTTACTCCATTTTGAAATACTTTTAGGACACAGGAAATAAATAATGTTGAAATGACCACTTTTTCAGATTGGTGAGAAAATTCACAGGGGGAATTAAATGTACTCTATTAAAAAGATGTCCTTCAAAATATCTTCTCCCCTCAGTATTTTTCCCTGGCATACAAATGGAATTTGGGTACCCATCGCACAAGGAGGGATGCTCTCTCAGCCTAAACTCTTGGGGGAGGGCCTAGGCCCTGACCTGAACAAAATGACAGACTCTGGATATGCTCCTTAGAGGGCCTCACCCTCCCTGGGTAACAGAGTGGGGATTGGGTTAGGGGCTGGGGAGCCTGGGGGGTGGAGGAGGAGGGGAGGGAGAGGGATCTGGGATTGACATGTGAAGCAAGTTTGTTTCTAATTTAAATAAAAATAAAGAAGAAATATCCTCCCCCCCTTCTCTCTCTCCTTTTCTCCTAAGTTAACTAAAGAATTTGAGAGTCTCTGTACTTAGGACAAGAAAAAAAGAACCATATTTTTCATTTGCTTCAAAAATCCTAAATTCAGGATCAGCCCCAGTGCAGCCAAGTCAGAAGGAAGATAGCCATCTGCCAGCTGCAGGCAGCCCTGGGGAGCTTTGAAACTGAGCCAGCCCAGAGATTGAGGACAGGCTTCACCGAAGGACTTTTGACTTCAAGTTAATCATGTGGAGCTGGGTGATAAGGAAAAATGAAGGACTGGCAAGCAAAATACAGACCAGCCTTGGAAGCATTTATTTCTCTAAAATGTGCTTCAAAATCACCCACCCATGAAGAGGTTCTTATTTAGGTTAATGTTAACACACCCTTTTACACTTAATCATCACGCGCGAGAGCTGAGACCTGATGCGTTTGGTAGGAGCCTTAAACAGTGAAGTGGTAGAATACAAACTATAGCAGTGAGGAACCCTGGCTGCAGAACCTTGCTGTCTGAATTCACACCCTGACTGCCGAGCCCAGTGACCCTTGACGAGGTCTTGAACTTCTGTAACACTTAGTTACTTGAGCAGAAGACATGGAATTAATGATAGGATCTACCTCAGCAGATTTCTATGAGGGTTAAAGGATATGATTTCTGTGGGGATTTAGCCCAATGCTTGTCAGATAGGATGGACTACACAGAATAAAATCTCCCATTAAGAGTAAAGCCACTCATTCTCACTAGCTGTCTGACATATCAACCTGTGCGTTAAGGGGTTGCTTTGTTCCTAGTGGTGAAAGCGGCAGTCTATAGGAATTAAAGAATGTCGACAGTTGCCAAATTGCCCTAAAGGTGTCCTTTACATCTGAGTTTGAGGCCAGCCTGGTCTGTAATGTGAGTTTAAGGATGGCTAGGGCTACTCACAGAAACTTGTCTCAATAAAAACAAAAAAAAAAAGTATACATTAAACTCAGAAAACCCAAAAGGGTTCCTGTGAATGGTGAAAATTAGTGAATCCTTAAAAAAAATACAGACTCCAGTTTTAATGCTTGCTAGAAGTAATTAACACCATTGCTTAAAATCAGCCCAAATTGACCTGAGAACCAAAAGCATCCAGGCAAATGAATGTACTTCTATTCCAATTGGAGCAGAAATTATAAAATTCCAGGTTCCAATAAAGTGATTCACCGAGTCTGAAGTTTTCACCTTCTTCTGGTAGTACAAGAAGGAAAGGGAACTCTGATGCTGCCATAGCTAAAGAAATAACTAGAAGCCATTCTGGATAGAGTCACAGTAATGACAGGGTAGGAAGAAAATCCCAGACTTACATACCACAGTTAACAGAGTGAATAGGCATGTAACATTGTTGAACACTTTGCTGAATGGAGAGAAGTAACTTGGAAACAGCTGCTTGTCCACAGCAGAAAGCAGCCATATACAGCCCTGTTGTCCTGTGGAGTTGTATAGTCCTTGCTTCTAAAATTGGCTTTCTAAGGTAACTATCATAACCATTCTTGTGTTGTTGGGTTTGTTGACCTTCTTGTCTTTATTTTTGCTCTGGTACCACAGATCCTACTGAGTAGAGGGCTTCCAAGTCAGTACCTAAAAGAAAAATTGAGGCATCTTCAACATGCTACCCTGGATAAATTTAAATGATGTGAGTGGTATCTGTTTATGCCAGAAAAGACCTCTACAATTTTGGTTGCTTTGTTGGTATTGTTTGTTTGCTTGGTTGGTTGTTTGCTTGCTTGTTTGTTTTAATCAGTAAATACATACAGTGAGGGCTTGGGAGATAGCTCAGCTAATAAAGTGTTTGGGTGTCGGTGATAATAATGATGATGTGGGAATACACAGAGACAGAGAGAATCATGGCTGTAGGGTGGTTGCCTGTAGACGTACCTCCATCCTGCTATGTGCTACAGCCTCTTTTCAGAGACCTTAACAAAGGTGAAGAGAAGATTATTGACCATAACACAGAAGAGAATTTCTGAACAAAGCAATTTGAAACAGAGTTGGAGTTTATTAGAAAGAAAATGTAATACAGACGTAAGTATATGAGTTAGAAAAGGGAGAAGCAGTCAGGAAGAAAGTAAGGCTTATAAAGTGGTGTGGTACATGTGGGTTTCTCATACTTAAGTGTCCTGACAGTGGTCAGACACCATATTTTGGTGCCTCTCGAGTTACATATCAAAAGATTATTCAAACTTTCTTCCATTTTATTCTGTGTGTGTCTGCCTCTCTCTCTCTCTCTCTCTCTCTCTCTCTCTCTCTCTCTGTGTGTGTGTGTGTGTGTGTGTGTGTGTGTGATAAATAAAATTATATAGTGACTCAAGAGGTACCTTGGAAAGGATAGTAATCTGATGGGGGGGAAATAACCATGAGTCATAAGTGTTACACAGGAGTCAAGGCCTCCCTTTTACCGTGGATTTTCTTATGAGATTCCTATAAAAGTGTACGTTTGCACCTTAGAGGAAATCATTCTGCATGATTCACTGCTACTTTAACACTATTTGAATCATCTCTGTATAAAAGGAATATTGTTTCTCTGCCAGCAACGTCATAGTAAGTGTTGTTAATTATGGGAGAATTCTTGACTATTGGCTAGCAAGAGACTTCAAACAGACTCCTTAACTCCTTTCCCTTTCCATGTCCTATTTAGTTTTCTGTCTCTCCATCCTGCCTCACAATGAGCAAACCTATGTTACAGGTTAAAGTGACAAGAATATCAAATTGATAGAGCAGCATGATGACCCTCATTCTCCTCTAGATAGGTAAACAAGTGGGTTAATACTGATCTCCCTTGTTTCTAGTTTGTAAGAAAACTCACTTTGGAATTGCTGTAAAATCTCTATCAGCCTCATCAGGCTCAGAGCCAATTCTCTGCTGGTTGAAATATGCATATTTTGATCCTTGTCTGCAGCCTCCAAGATGCAGAAGTTTCCATGGCACACTACTTCAGGACATTGGTCATTCATTCCTCCTTTGGATCTGTTCGATAACAAGATCATTCTTGACTGTCTCGGGGTTTTGCTGTCAACTGTTCATGCCTTTCATGCTCCAGTATGGTCTGTGGCTTAGACAAGAATTTCCTCTCTCCAGAAAATCATAAGTTGAGTCACCTATGAGAATATTAACAATCCTTTTTGGTTTCTTGATTTGTTGTTGTTGTTCATTTAGTAAGCACCTTCAAAGCAATGTATACTTAATGAATATAATACTACATGGTAGTTTAAAGTAAAACTGTGTGGAAACACTTGACTTATTGTTTATTTTCTCCTAACTACCCAGTAATAACAGCAGAAACAAAGAAATGAAATACAAGAAACAGTATGATTGCAAACAAGAGAAAGTTTCTTTTTCCTCAATTCTAGTCAAACACTAAGAGAATTCATTTGCCCGAAGTCTACCAGTAGCAGCATAAGGACCACAGGTCCTACAAATAGACAAAAGGAAACCTGGCCCTTAAAATTAACAGCAGCTAGGCATGTATTAATTGTAGGCCACACTAAAATGACTGGAAAATAAAAAAGTTCAACACAGAATATCACCACATATTGCATGAAAGTGCTCAGCACTTTATTTCCACCCATACCTATCACCGACCTGCTGACATTCACTTTGACAGGCCTAACATTTTAAGGGGAAGAAAATCATGTATGAAATTATGTTAAAAATGAGCATTATGAAAGGGGAACACTCCTCCACTGCTGGTGGGAGTGCCAACTCGTACAGCCACTTTGGAAATCAGTATAGATATTCCTCAGAAAAATGGGAATAAACCTACCACAAGACCCAGCAACTCCACTCTTAGGCATATATCCAAAAGATGCCCATTCATACAAGGATGCCTGTTCCACTATGTTCATTGCAGCATTATTTGTAATAGCCAGAACTTGAAAGCAACCTAGATGCCCCTCAACCAGAGAGTGGATAGAGAAAATGTGGTACAATTACACAATGGAGTACCATTCAGCAGAAAAAACCCAATGGAATCCTGAAATTTGCAGGCAAATGGATGGCACTAGAAGAAACCATCCTGAGTGAGGTAACCCAGTCACAAAAAGAGAAACATGTATGTACTTTCTCATACATGGATTTTAGACATAGATCTGGGGAGTGCCAGCCTACAATCCCATGGCTAGAGAGTCTGGGAAACAGAACCTTAATTCAGTGGCTGATGGAAGCAGAGGCAGACTCCCACGACTAAGCACCGAGCTGAACTCAAGAAATCCAGTGACAGAGAGGGAGTACTGATGACCAAAGGGGTTAAGACTGAGCTGGTTTAACCCCCAGAAACAGCTGGCCTGACAAGGGTTAACTCTTGAATCCCAGGCATCAGCCTGGGAATCCAGCATGAGACTGATCAAGACCCCCTGAATGGGGGTGTTTGTGAGGAGGCCTAGGTAATCTATTGAGCCTTGGGCAGTAGATCAGTATTTATCCTGAGTATCTGAGCTCAAAACCCTCAAAGATATATTCACCAAAATCACAGGAGAAAAAATTTCTAAACCAAAGAAGGATGTGTCTATGAAGAAACAAGAAGCTTACAGAACAACAAATAGACTGGACCAGAAAAAGAAGTCTCCATGCCTCATGATAACAAAAACACTAAACATACAGAACAAAAAAAATATTAAAGTTGCAAAGGACAAAGGTCAAGTAACATATAAAAGCAGACCTATTAGAATTATATCTGACTTCTTGATGGAGACTCTAAAAGCAGAGGGACCTGGACAGATGTCTTTCAGACTCTAAGAGTCCCTGGATGTCAGCCCAGATTACTATACCAGCAAAACTTTCAATTACCACAGATGGAGAAAACAAGATAAATCATGACAAAGTCAAATTTAATCACTATCTCTCCACAAATCCAGCCCGGCAACTTACAAGAAGAAAACACAAGCAATAAATAACCTCAAACAAGCAAAACCCCAAGAAGGGAAACACACACATGAAATACCACCAACAGCAACAAAATAATAGAAATAAACAGTCATTGATCTTAATGTCAATGGATTCAACTCCTGAATAAAATGACACAGACTAACAGAATGAAAATGAAAACGTGATGATTCATCCTTGTACTGCATTCAAGAAACACACCTCAACTTGAAACACAAACACTACCTCAGATTAAACGATTGGAAAAAGATTTTCCAAGCAAATGGTTCTAAGAAGCAAGCTGGTGTATCTCTTCTAATATCTGGCAAAATAGACTTCCAAACAAAAAAAATGAAGAAGGACATTTCATGCTCATCTAAGGAAAGATAAACCAAGAGGACACTGCAATTCTTAGCATTTATGCCTCAAATGCAACAGCACCTTTGTAAAATAAATATTACAAAGGCTTAAATCACATAGGGACCCTCATACATTAATTGTGGGAGACTTCAATATCCCATTCTCACCAAGGGTCATCCAAAAGAAATTAAACAGAGAAATGTTTCATTTTCTTTAATCTGCTGACACTTGCTTTGTGACAGTTTTGAAGAAGGTTCCATGTGGAACCTTCATAAAGAAATTAGAGATATCTAATGCTAGGGACTTAACAGCACACCTGAAAGCTCTAGAACAAAAAGAAGCAAGCACACCCAAGAGGAGTAGAAGGCAGAAAATAATCAAACTGATCGGCTGAAATCAATAAAACAGAAGCAAAGAGAACAATACAAAGAATCAATGAAACAAAGAGTTGGTTCTTTGAGAAAATCAACCGGCCCACCAGATGACTCCAGCCACTCTACCAAACAGGAGCCTAGGACCTGGCAGTTGTGCACTATTATGACCACTTTGTGATAAGCAAGCATGGGCCTACCCAGCACCATGGGACGGAGCAGGACAAAGAGACCCACATGCAGAGAGAGAGAGAGAGATAGAGATAGAGAGAGAGAGAGAGAGAGAGAGAGAGAGAGAGAGAGAGAGAGAGAGAGAGACAGAGAGAGAGAGAGAGAGAGAGACCCACATACATGCCTGGAGTGGTTTGCCCCCAGCTCCGAGAAGAAAACATGGGCCCACCTCATACTTTGCAGGGCCAGGCAGACAGGCACTACTATGTTCAGCAACTGTATAGTGTAGTATGGGAGAGAGAGAGAGAGACAGAATAGATCATGTCCTGTGGGCAGAGTCATATCTGAAGAGGTGAAAGGAATGAAGAATGGGTTGAAGTAGGCAGCAACATCGCCACCTAGGACCATGATGATATTTGGGTCTGGGCTGCTGCTAGGGCCCATGTCTGAGTTCATTGCTTTGTTGTAGTCTAAGTCTGTGTTGTTGTCCATGGCTCGTGATACCACCAAAGGCTGAGAGGATAGGGCTGTACAGAATTGGCCCCGCCCCTCACTGGCTATAATACTATGGAGAATTAGTTCTGCCCCTCATTTGCTGAAGCACTCAGGAAATAGTGTCCTACACCTCATCTGGGCAGCACAACAGAGCTGACCCTGAGGACATGAGAAGGGGAGAACAGATCCCAATCCCTTCGAATGCTATGTGGTGGCATGGGTGAGGGAAAGATGCCCTACTCCACTTGCCCCTCTCCAGCTGTAGCAGGTGGGGGACCCGACCCAACCCCTCACCAGTTGCAGCACTCCGGAAGAACAGGCCCTATGCCTTGCCTGGGCACCACAATAGAGTTGCCCCTGTAGACAGGGGTGGAGGGGAGCCAGCCCTGAGGGTGTCAGAGAGGCATAATTGGTACCACCACCCTCATGTGTGGCGTGGTGGAGGGAGTGAAGGAAAGATATTCTCCCTTCTCAACCCTAAGGCCTTAGCTGGCAACAGAGCCGATCCTCCCGTTTACCAGATGCAACACTTGGGAAAGCGGGCCCTGCACCTTGTCTGGGCAGCACAGCTGAGCTGACCCTGATAACTGGGGCACCACAGGTGAGTCCACCTGAGAACATAAGCATGAGAAATCTGGCCCTGCCCCTCATCTGCCATATGGCAACATGGGCAGAGAAGGGATGTCCTCCTACCCCAACCCTTCTATGCCTGAGGCAGGTGGACAAGCTGTCCCTGCTGTAGCACTCTGGAGAGTAGGCCCTGTACCTCACTTGGACAGCACCGTAGAGAAGACCCTGTTGGCAGATGAGTGTGTGAACCAACCCCAAAGCTGTGAGCATGGGAGAGCTGTCCCCGCTGTCCTTCTGTCATACTACAGAGTGGGTGGGGGAGAGACACCTCCCCTTAGCCCCTCATTCCTTGCTGCCTGCAACAGATGAGGAGCCAACCCTCTCCCCTACCTGCTACAGAATTCAAGAAATCATATCCTGCTCCTCGCCTGGGCAGCACAGTAGAGCTGATCCCGTTGGTGGAGATGTAGGTGAGCTGGCCCCCAGGATGTGAGCGTGGGATAGCTGACCACACCCCCTGTGGTGGTGAGGATAAGGGAAAGATACCCTCATCCCCTTACCCCTGCCACCTGTGGTGGGAAAGGGAGCTGACCCTCCCTCCCCTTACCAGCTGCAGCACTCGGGAAAGTGGATCCTGCAGCTCTCCGGGGCAGCACAGCAGAGCTGACCTTATAAACAAAGGTATGGGTGAACCAGCTAAGATCACGAGCCCTGGAGGGCTGGTCTTGCCCCCATCTGCCATATTGTGGTGTGGGCATGGGAGGGATGCCCTCCCACTGCTCCCCCCTTCTTGCCCCTCACTACCTGCAGCAGGTGGGAGAGGTGGTCCTGAGGCCATAAGAGTGGGAGAGCTGTTCCTGCTCCTTACCAGCTACAGCAGTCAGGAGAGTGGCCCCTGCACCTCACCAGGCAACATGGTAGAGCTGATGACCCAGGTGTGGGAGAGCTGACCCTGAAGGCATGAAAGCGGAGAATTGTCCCCCACCACTCACCCATGGCTAAGAAGGATGAACTAGAAAGGGCAGTGTGACAGAGCTGACGCCGGTGGTGAGGACAGTAGTGAGCTGGAAGGTTGACCATCCCAGAAACTACCAAGACTGAGAACCAGGGTCATACATTCATTGGCCAGCCCAAACATCTATCCCATCTATGATCTGCTGAAGCACATGAAGGGCCTGGTTCTGCAGACCCAAAGCTGCAGGATCTCCATGACACAGGGCAACAACAGGATAACCAAAAGGAGTCCGGGTGAGAACCCAGCATCCATAGTGTAGCAGAAATCAGAGGCCTCAAACTAGACCAATGACACTTTGCAATAAACACCTGCAAGTAAAGATACTTGGGCAAAAGCTGTAAAGGAGAACCATGCTACAATTCACAGACCCAAAGAGGCTGAGTAACAGGGAGTGTTGAAGGGGCTGGGGGTGGGGTATCTGGTGTACATGAATCTCATAGTGAAGGGGAAATAGAATACACATCACAGGTGAATGGGGGAGAGGGAGGGATCTAGATGGGGCTGATCATGAGAAGAGGAGAGATCAGGTCGGTGGAGGATGAAGGGAGAGAGTAATGGGTGGGACAACTGGAATTGTGGCAGTGGGGGTCATCTCTAGGATGAGTTAGAAACCTAGCACAGTAGATAATCCCAGTAATCTATGAAGGTAACCATAGCCAAGATACCTAGCAAAGGGGGATTTGGAACCTCAACTCGTTATCCCCTCATTCCCCCAGGGAGGGTGAGGCCCTCCATGGGGGTGTCCATAGTCTGTCATTTCATATAGGGCAAGGCCTAGACTCTTCCCCAAGAGTTCAGGGTGAGAGTGCACCTCACATTGTTCTATGGGAGTCCAAAGTCCGTGTGTATACTTGGGATGGGTACTGATCTGCTGCCCAAGGCTCAATAGATTACCTAGGCCTCCTCACTGACACCCACATTCAGGGGGTCTTGATCAGTCCCATGCTGGATTCCCAGGCTGATGCCTGGGATTCAAGAGTTAACCTTTGTCTGGTCAGCTGTTTCTGGGGGTTAAACCAGCCCAGTCTTAATCCCTTTGATCATCAGTCCTCCCTCTCTGTTACTGGCTTTCTTGAGTTTAGCTCAGTACTTAACCGAGGGAGTCTGCCTCTTCTTCGATCAACCACTAAATGAAGTTTCTGTTTCCCAGACTCTCTGGCCATAGGATTGTAGGCTGGCACTCCCCAGATCTATGTCTAAAATCCATATATGAGAGAGTACATGCCATGTTTCTCTTTTTGTGACTGGGTTACCTCACTCAGGATGGTTTCTTCTAGTGTCATCCATTTGCCTGTGAATCTCATGATTCCATTGTTTTTTCTGCTGAATAGTACTCCATTGTGTAAATGTACCACATTTTCTCTATCCACTCTTCGGTTGAGGGACATCTAGGTTGCTTCCAAGTTCTGGCTATTACAAATAAAGCTGCTATGAACATAGTGGAACAGACATCTTTATTGTATGAATGGGCATCTTTTGGATATATGCCTAAGAGTGGAGTTGCTGGGTCTTGTGGTAGGTTTATTCCCATTTTTCTGAGGAATCTCCATACTGATTTCCAAAGTGGCTGAACCAGTTGGCACTCCCACCAGCAATGGAGGAGTGTCTCCCATTCACCACATCCTCTCCAGCATAAATTATCATTGGTGTTTTTGATTTTTAGCCATTCTGACAGGAGTGAGATGGTATCTCAGAGTTGTTTTGATTTGCATTTCCTGGATGGCTAAGGATGTTGAGCACTTTCTCAAGTGCCTCTCAGCCATTTTAGACTCCTCTATTGAAAACTCTCTATTTAGTTCTGCAGCCCACTTTTTAATTGGGTCCTTTGATGTTTTGGAGACTTGTTTCTTGAGTTCTTTGTAAATTTTGGAGATCAACCCTCTGTCAGATGTGGGATTAGTGAATATTTTTTCCCATTCTGTGGGCTGCCTTTTTGTCTTGCTGACTGTGTCCTTTGCCTTACAGAAGCTTCTCAATTTCAGTAGGTCCCATTTATTAATTGTTGATCTCACTGTCTGTGCTACTGGTGTTATGTTCAGGAAGCTATCTCCTGTACCAATTCGTTCAAGGTTACCACCCACTTTCTCTTCTAAGAGGTTCAGTGTGGCTGGATTTATGTTGAGGTCTTTGATCCATTTGAACTTAAGTTTTGTGCATGGCGATAAACATGGATCAATCTGCATTCTTCTACATGCCAGTCTCCAGTTTTGCCAGCACCATTTGTTGAAGATGCTTTCTTTATTCCATTGTATATTTTTAGCTTCTTTGTCAAAGATCAGATGTTCGTACGTGTGTGGGTTAATACCCGGGTTTTCAATTCGATTCCATTGGTCTACCTGTCTAAGTCTTACTGCAACTTGATATGCTATTATGACTGGCTTGATATACATGGGAGGCTTGCCCCTTTTCTGAGGAGAAAGGAGGAGTGGATGACAGGAAGAGGGGAGGTTGGGGGAGGATTTAGAGGAGAGGAAGGAGGGAATGGAAACTGTGATGAGGCTGGAAAAGTAATTAATTAATTTAAAAATATTGTATAAAAAGTTTAAATTAAAAATATGGAACCCTGGCGGCGGTGGCACACGCCTTTAATCCCAGCACTCGGGAGGCAGAGGCCGGCGGATCTCTTTGAGTTCGAGGCTGGGCTGGACTGACAGCCTCCAAAACAATACAGAGAAACTCTGTCTCGTAAAAAAAAATATGGAAGGGTACTGATTCCTATAAATAAAAGGAGAATATCAACAGTTATAATATTTACAGGCATATATCAAGTTAAAGACAAAGAAGCTGCAATTAAAAGAAAAATTAGCATTTTGAATAACGATTTTACTTGTTTTATTTTAGGAGTATGAGTACTTTATCTTCACATATGTATATGCACCACATGTAGGTGTACGAGTGCTTTAACTAAGTATATGTATATGCACCACATGTAGGTGTACGAGTGCTTTAACTAAGTATATGTATATGCACCACATGTAGGTGTACGAGTGCTTTAACTAAGTATATGTATATGCACCACATGTAGGTGTACGAGTGCTTTAACTAAGTATATGTATATGCACCACATGTAGGTGTACGAGTGCTTTAACTAAGTATATGTATATGCACCACATGTAGGTGTACGAGTGCTTTAACTAAGTATATGTATATGCACCACATGTAGGTGTACGAGTGCTTTAACTAAGTATATGTATATGCACCACATGTAGGTGTACGAGTGCTTTAACTAAGTATATGTATATGCACCACATGTAGGTGTACGAGTGCTTTAACTAAGTATATGTATATGCACCACATGTAGGTGTACGAGTGCTTTAACTAAGTATATGTATATGCACCACATGTGTGCAGTGACCTCAGAGGCTCAAAGAGAGCATCAGATCACCTGGCAGTGGAGTAGAGATGATTGTGAACCAATATGAGTATGCTGGGAGATGAACCAGGGCCTCTGGAAGACCAGAAAGTACTCTTAACCACTGGTCTATTTCTCTAGGCCCAATTTTTAATTTTTTGAAGTATACAATTTATGATGATAAATTAATTACTGTTATCACTACTTCAATAGCATCTCTTTCCACACTATGTGAAATACAGTCTTTACCAGGAAATTTAAAGCGATAGAGATTTCGAGTTTGTTGCAACACAGAATAGAGCCTTAAAATGGCCAAGGAACATTAATAAAATTCAATCACAGTATCTCTTGTTGACATAAGTTAATATACTAGCCTCCAATATGAAAATCTATGAGGCTATATGTTCTAATCAAAATTTATTGATATGTAAATTAAATAATATCTTTAAGCACAAAATACAATTCAATGGAAAGTAGACAGAAGAAAAATCAAGATTTCTTAATTATTGCTTTGCAAATAAATAGAACTCCAATTATAGACTACTGAAATGTGTATGTACTGTTGCTAAATTTATGTTAGGATAAATGTAAGTCATAGATATATTTTATGATTAAAGAAAATTTTATATAATCAATGTGACCCCCATTAGCTTATTTTCTTTCCTTCTTTACAACTAACATGTACATAACCTCTCTGTCTCTTTCTCTGTCTCTCTCTCTCTCATAATCCCCATTGTTCACAGTTTTTATGTGATATAAAATCGCTGTGAACACTGAATTCACAAGTGCTGAAAAATTGCCCCCTGGGAAAATACAGGATTATGTTCTTGAAAGCCTCCTATTGCTACATCGGGAAAACTGATAAATACATCATTCTGTTCTATGTATGTTTCTATTTAGTCATTCAGTATTTAGTTTGTATTTTCAATCCATTAACATATATCTTACTGCTAACAGCATAGCAACCTACGTCTTATGTAATTCACAGTTCTCCACAAGGCTTATCGTAGCCTTCTCTCTTCCCTGTGCTGAGGCTGCATTAAATAGTAAAACCAGTAACAGGAAGCACAAAAAGAAGTTACTAAAAACATGACAAAAATGGCAGTGGTTTGTAGCACAAACAAGTGTTCGATGTCA